TAGAAGGAAATACATTAAGATTTTAATATTATTTCTGTATGGTGTGATTACTAGTGTTTTTTTTTTTTTTTTTTTGTATAAGTTTCTGTGATTTTAAATGAAATACAGTGAAAAAGTAGTTCTTTTATAGTCACCGAAAAGCCATTAAAATACGAATATCACAACATTGCAAAGACAAATGGACTGTTCTTTATCCGCTTGTTGCAATATTGTAGGTGAGTAACAGCTTAATATGCACACCAGATGGAATCCCTAAAAACAACGAATCTCAATCTTGGCTGCACGTTCACCTGGAAAGCTGAGCCATCAGTCAGAAAGAGTTTTGATTTAATTAGGCTAGGGTGGGGCCTACTGGTGCTCTGATGGTGTAGTTGTTGTGGCATTTGGCTGCTAAGCAAAAGGTTGGTGGTTTGAAGCTACCAGCAACTCCAAGGAAGAAAGATGAGGCAGTCTGCTTCTGTAAAGATTTACAGTCTTAGAAAGGACTTAAACCCCCCAATGGGGGTTGCTGTGACTCAGAATTGATTTGATGGCAGTGAGTTTGATTTTGGTTTTGGGGTGGGGCCTGAATATCAGTGATGGTGGAAGTTTCCCAGATGTTTCTAATATGAAGCCAGGACTGAGAACCAGTATAGAGAGGCTTTTGAGAACCAGTATAGAAAGGCATTTAAGGAAAAGAAAACCCATCATAAATACCAGCCAAAAAGCTTGCAAGCAGCCATCTACAATGCAATAATTAGTCTCTCCTCTTCTGCAGCAAAGAAAAGTGAAGAAAATCAAAGATGCATGCAAATAATTAGTCCAAGGGACTAGTGGACCATGAGAACCTCAGCCTATGTGAGCCTGAGAACAGAAGAACTAGATGGTGCCTGGTTACCACTGCCAAACACACAGAAAAGAAATAAAAAAAAAGAGGTCCTTTATTGGGGGGGGGGGAGTGGGGAACCAAAAAAAAAAAAAAAAAAAAAAAAAAAAGATCAGCCTTACTGGCGTGATAGGCTCTGGTGAAACCCCTGAGACTATGTCCCCAAGTCACCCTTCAGTACTGGAATTGAACTCACTTCTGTGGCTTTCAGCCAAATAGACATGTCTATAAGGTGAAAATTTACACCAGGTAGGTACACTCCTTAGAACAGTCCACCATGGGAGACAATAAAAGCAGCATTTGCATAGGGATATAGCTCAGAGGGCAGGAATGCATAGGAAAGAAGAACACAGAGAAAAGATAACCACAAGGAGGAAGCAGGAAGAGAGCTGTTATATTGTGGGAATTGCAATTAATGTCATGAAACAAAACGTGTATGAACTGTTGAATGCAAAATGAATTTGCTCTATAAATTTTCACCCAAATTGTCATTGAATAAATAAATATGGAACTTTCCTATACTGCTGGTGGGACAGTAAATTGGTACAACCACTGTGGAAAATGGTATGGCACTTCCTTAAAAAGCTGGAAATAGAAATACTAATTGATCCAGCAATTCCACTGCTAGGAATATATCCTAAAGAGGTGAGATCCAGAATATGAATAGATATATACATACATGTTCATTGCAGTACTACTTAACAATAGCAAAGAGACAAAAACAACCTAAGTGCCCATCAACAGATGAATGGATAACCAAACTATGGTATATATACACAATGGAATACTATGCAACATTAAAGAATACTGAAGAATCAGCCAATTACCTCATAATGTGAATGAACTCAAAGGACATTATGCTAAGTAAAATAAGTCAATCACACAAGGACAAATCTTGTCAGTCCATTATTATAAAACATCAAGGAAAGGTTTACACAGGGAAGGAAATTTTCTTTGCTGGTTACCAGGGATGGGAGGGGAGGGGAAAGGAGGGAAAATAGATAGATAGTTAAGATACAGGTTTGATATGGGTGAAGTGAAAAGCAATATGACAAAAGCATGTGACTAGCACAACATCAGTAAGGAAAAGGAAGACAGAGAGGTACAGAGGAGGTACAGACAATAAAGGAAAATACAATTGCATACATAATACTACATTATCATTAATAGCAAACACTACTCTATGTGTAGATACATAGGTAGACAGGACAGAAGATCAGTTATGGATAGGTAAATGGGAATAGACCCAAGACCATACTTAGGTTTGGCAGATGATATTCCTACATATGTATCTGTATGTGTTATAAAAACGTTCATATATAGTTTCAGCTAACAGGGGGCAAAGTTAGGATAACTTCTTAGCCATAAGTAAGAACCTTGAGGGAGTAAGTTGGTGGGCCTGTGGGCTGGGGACCATGGTGGGAGGGGACATCAAGCTCAATTGGCACAACATAGTATACAAAAATATTGTTCTACTTCTTACTTCAGTAAGTAGCAACTGAAATTTTAAAAGCTTGTGAGTGGCCATCTGAGATACAAAGATTGGTCTCTTCCTGTCTGGAGCAAAGAAGAGTGAAGAAAATCAAAGACACAGGGAAACAATTAGGCCAAAGGACAAATTGACCATGAGAACCCCAGCCTATATGACCCTGAGACCAAAAGAACTAGATGGTGCCCAGCTAGCAAGGCCAACCATTTGGAAAGGCATCAAAATAGGAGATTCTGGACAGAGTTGGAGAAAAATGTGGAACAAAATTCAAAATCATAAAAAAGACCAGGCTTTTTTGATCTGGTAAAGACTGGTGAAACCCCCAAGACCATGGTTCCAAGTCACCCTTTGGGCCTGGATATGAACTCACTCCTGTGGCTTAATTTTCACCCAAAGAAGGCATTTGACTGCTAACCGAGGTTGGCGGTTCAAACCCACCAGCCACTCCTCAGAAGGGAGGTTGGGCAATCTACTTCCGTAGTGATATCGCCTTGGAAACCCAAGGAGGGGTCATTATGAGTCAGATCCAACTCTACGGCAGTGAGGTGAGGGGTATGAGGTGAACACCTACAGCAGGGAGATGCACTCTTTAGAAGAATCAATCATGGGAGATCAGAAGGTCAGCATTTACACGGGGAGAAAGGAAAGGAGACAGGAATACATAGGCAGGAAGGACACAGAGAAAGGGAAATCACAGGGAGGAAGTGGGAGGAGAGCAATTATGCTGCAGGGAATGTAACCAGGGTCACAAAATAAAATGTGTTGAATGTGAAAAGAACCTGCTTTTTAAAATGTCACCCAAATCATGGAAAAAGTTAAAATGAATAAATAAAGACTAGCCAAGATGAGTGTATAGGAGAGGTAATTAATGGGTTTTCAAAGAAACTAGCAAACATATACCCACCAGAGACTTCAGCTGAAGCTAATCTTCCACAGATACCAGTGATACAAAATACCTGCAATCATTACAGAAACAACAGAAGACAGACATAGAGCAATCCCTCACAGATAGCCAGAAAACTGTGGGAGAGAGATCCAACAGATCTACTGACTCAGGACCATAGGACTGGGGGACACCAGACTCAATTGGCACAATAAAACACATAAAAATCTTGTTCTTCATTCTACATTGTTGAGTACTGACTGGGGTCTTAAAAGCTTTCAAGTGGCCATCTAAGATGCAACTAATGGTTTCCTATTGCTGGAAGCAAAGAAGAGTTCAAAAAACCAAGGGGATTTGGAAGCACCCAAAGAAGGCATTTGACTAGGACATGATGGACCTCTAAACCAGAAGAGCTAGATGGTGCCTGGCTACCAATGCCAACCACTCAGGAAAGGATCAAAACTGGAGATCCTGGATAGAGTGGGAGGAAAAATGTGGAACAAAATCCAAAAACACAATAATGACCAGAATTATTGCTTGGATGGAGTCTGATGAGATCCCCAATACTATGGAGCTCTGGTAGCATAGTGGCTAAGGCACTTGACTGCTCACCAGAAGGCTGGCGGTTCAAACCCATCAGCCACTCCTTGGAAGGAAGGTTGGGCAATCCTACTTCCGTAGTGATACTGCCTCGGAAACCCAAGGAGGGGTCGCTATGAGTCAGGGCTGACTCGACGGCACATAACAACAACAACAAGTTACAGTTTGGGCCTAGAATAAAACTCACTCCCAGGGGCTGGCTCTCAGCCCAATAGTAAACAAGATGTACACACAGATCACTCAACGCAGGGTGACACACCCACATACTCTATGGACATGTATCCCTTGGAGCAATCGACCATGGGGCACCAGAGGGGCAACATTCACATGGAGGAAATGCAGGACACACAGGAGTGCATAACTATGAGGGGCACATGGGGATGGGGGAGGGTTACTGGGCGGGGAGGGGAGGAGACAGGGTTAGGGTTGGGGATGGTAAATGGGGAGTGAAACTAAATGTACATGTAATGTTCAATGTAAAACAAACTCTGCTCTGTAAACTTCCACCTAAAGCATAATGGAAAAAAAAAAAGGCAAAGAATCATACAAAGTAGGCTCTGGCATGAATTTGTGGTTTGACCTTTGACATTCTCTTACCTGAATCTCAAGTTTCTCATTGTTGAAATATTTGGGTTGCCTTCATCTGCTATATATTTGTACTCTCAGACACCAAAAACCAAAAAATCAAACTCATTTCCAAGTTGATTTAGATTCATGGTGACCCCATTGTTACAGAGAAAAACCACAACGTTTTCTTGGCTATAATCTTTATGGAAGCAGATCATCAGACCTTTCTTCCATGGCTCTGCTAGGTGGGTTTGAACCATCAACCTCTAGGTTAGTAGAGTGTGAACCGTTTGCTCCATCCAAGGACCCACTCAGGCACAGCCATGTTTAAATCTGAGTTCCTGAAGGTACTAGTTGTGTCAGTTCATGTTTCTAGCTTCCTTTTCCTTATCAATAAAAGTACAAACTTACCTCATGCAGTTATTGTAAGGATTAAACAAATAGATGTTTAATCCACACTTTATAAGTGTGGAGTGCAATGCTCGGACACAATAATTTCTCAAAGAATGGCCATTCCCTGTCCCTTACCAAATAGCAGTTGAAGAGACAGAAGGGCCGGCTGGGTCTGATACGAACAGCAACATTCCCCTCTTGTCCCGGAGGCAGGACTTTGCCCTCGTCGTCCACAATCTGGCAGAGAGATCATGGAAGGTGTCTGGAGGTCTGTACAGCCAGTCACCCCACCAGCTGAGCCTGCTGTTAATAATGCAGGGGTATATGTCTTGCTCCTCTTCAAACTAAGCTTCAGCACCAGCATTTGGGAGAGGGTGCCTACCTGCAGTCAAATGCCTTAGGCACTATGCCATCAGAGCTCCCAAAAAATGAAACTCACTGCCATGGAGTCAACTCCAACTCACAGTGACCCCCTTTGGGTTTCTGAGGCAGTAAATCTTTACAGAAGTAGATTGCCCAGTGAAGGAAGACTGGGCAATCTACCTTAGTATTGATACTGCCTCAGAAACCCAAGGAGGGGTCACTATGAGTCGGATCCGACTCAACGGCAGTGAGGTAGTGAGGCCTACCTGCACATCATAAGGTGGGGATGCTTTTCCCATGGATCCAGACTTGATTTTCGTGCCTTTTGGATTGGCACAGATTAAAACCTGGAGAAAGATCAGTACCAATAAAGGAGGAGCTTTATTCCCTTAACTTCGTCTGGGCCCACGCCTGCCTCTCTGTCCCTGCCTCCTAACTCTCTCACCCTCTTTCCTCTTTTCCTTAACTTAATTCTCTTTCCCTCCTTTCTTCCCTCCTCTCTCTTATTTTTCTTCTTCCTTTTTCTCCTTCTTTCCTTCATCACTCATTCCTTCCCTTTCTTCCTTATCTTCTTTCCTCTCTTTCTTTCCTTCCTTTCTTCTCTTACTCCTTCTTTCCTCACCCCTTCCTTCTCTCTTCTTTTTCTTTCCATAATCAACACACTTTTTTTTGAGGATTCTGTTGGGCATTACTCACAAGTAACAAACTCAGGGTGTTGCTAAGCCAAAAGACTCAGCTGATTCCTGAATCTCTGCCTGGACAGAGCACCCTGTTTAGGATTCTAGACTCCAAACACAGACAAATGTCATCTGTCCTATTGGAGATAAACAGCACTCTTGGCCCTGAGAATTGGTTTACAGGCGATGATGTAATTGTGAAAAAGCAACATTGGGTTTTAGACTGCCTGACTTTCTAATTCCATACTTTCAGTGCTTCTCAGAATTTAGTGAACTACTTATTGAACTATTTCAGCAGCCTATACCCACGTGTTCTCTTTCAAATCCAGGGAAGTTTTGAAACTTAACCAATTCAGGAACAACTAACTCCTGAACTTTTCATGTTTTTCTTTCTCAGGAATATTTTCAGGTAGCAAGATATAGGGCCCCCTTGGTGGTACAAGTGGTTAGGTGCTTGACTATTAACTGAAGGTTTGTGGTTCAAACCCACCCAGAAGTGCCTTGGAAGATAGCCCTGGTAATCTCTTCCAAAAGGACATAGATTTGAAACCTTATGGAGCACAGTTCTGCTCTGTACACAAGGGATCACTGTGAGTTGGAACTCGATGGCAACTAAAAACAACAGCAGGGTCTAAGAACTGTAATTTACTCCTTTAAACCAAAAGACCAGGAGAGATAATAGCGTTTCATCTGCTTCTTTCCCTGTGGGTAGGGCAGTCTCTGACCAGCTTCTCCAAGATAAGGGCCAGTCAGGGTGCTGTAAAGGGGTCAGGTGGAGGAGACCTGGTGGGGAGCCTGGCCCAGCACCACTCACTGTTTCCGACTGGCCGTAACCTTCATGCAGCTCCAGACCTGTCTGGCTCTTCCACTTGTCTCGCACATCAGGATTGAGGAACTCTCCTCCGGTCAAGCAGTGTCTCAGACTCTGAAACTGGTACCTTTCTCAGCCAGGAAAATGAGGCAGCTCATCACAGGATCCCCATCCCACCTGGTCCCCTAAGCACTGCTGTCCAGGTCCAGATACTGGGCCCTTGGCAAAGCACTGAAGTTTCAACATCCATGTTTTACAACCTTCTCCGAGTGCCTGGATTTTCTGGCTTCACAGGATGTTCCCCATGGACACATAATTCAACATAACCAATCCCACTTGAGGTTGCAATAAAATCAGAATGTCGTAATAGGCTTTTACATAACATGGGGAGCTCCAAGTGAATTAGCCAATACAATTTAGTTGGGAACAAATTGATTGATGGATAATAAATTGATCGAGACAACAACTGGGTTGAAAAAGACAAATCATTTACAAATTAGAAAGATAAAATGTATTCCTCTAAGAACCCCCCATATTTGGACAAATGGATAAAAATCCCTACAGATACCAAATATGTTGCAAAATCACCCCCTCAGTTCAACCGATTATCTAACATGTGAAAAATCAGTGATAGTAGATATATTTTTAAACTTTTGCTTTTTTTTCCTTTAGATCAAATTGTTTTTGGCCAAATTACTTAGTGTTACCAAGTGTCTTTCAATCAAATCACTCCTGAATAAATCACTCAAAGCCTGTTTTTTGTCAAAATCTTGGTGTGGAGATATAAAGAACAGATCAACGAATTTGATGAATTCTTACACTGTACAAGAGTTCATCTTGCATCGCATGTAAGAACTCCATCTTTTAGGCATTTCATGGTCAGATACATAAAATTAGGGAAGATGGGCCATTCTCCATGACTGGGGAGTGAGTCAGAATCCATGGGTTACCGAAGTGCCTTCTCTACATACACTAGTTGTGTTTTGCCAGCAGATGTTGCTTTGTAGTCACCCAAGATGGGAACCATCCACATCCTCTTGTCTCCTTCTCTTGGGTGCCCACTGACATACACTCAGAGAACGGCTGGCTGGGCTAGTCTGGGGCTAGATAATCTTGGGGATGGAACCACCACTGTGATGATTTGTGGGTTCCATGAATTAGGGATTTAGTTATGAGTCCCTTATAGGTAGCTTTATCCATTACTTTTTCTAATCTCATGGAGGTAACAGACACATTGCTGTTGGGATGACCCAGCGATGTATGGTGAGGAGATAGTCCACCTCAAGCACTGAGAAATGTCAGATTCCCTAAAGTCTTGAATCTATTCCATCCCAGTCAGAAGCTTGTCCTCGAGGTGTGTGTGTGTGTGTATGTGCACAAGTCAGGTTGCTTGAGGAGTGGGTGTGCCTGATTGCTTCTAGGAAATGTAAGAGAGAGGGAGAGATGGAATGAGAAAGTGGGTGTGGTGTGTGTGGGTGCTGCAACATATACTCACATATTTAATCCCCCAAAGTACCAAACAAATGGGCTGTACCTTGTCAAATCCTCCTGCACAAGCAGCCGGAAGAGGGTGGGGACACAGCAGAGGGTAGTGATCGGAAACTGAGACAGAGTCTAAACAAAAACAAAGGTTGGAAGATCAGCTTACTGTCACCAAGGTGAGACTTGCCACAGATGGCTTGAGTCTCTATGTTCTCATTACCAGAGGAGTGAAGCTGAAAACTCTGTGTGGTAGGCAGCCAAAAAGATTGTGGCTGATGACCCCATCTCCTGGTATCCCCATCCTTGTGGATTTCTCTTCCACTGTACTGAAGTTGGCTGTATGACCAATAGCATACGGCAGAGGTGACGGTCTGTCACATCCAAAATTAGGTTATAAAAAGACTGTGGCCATTATCCTGGGTGCAGTCTCTCTCTGTCTCTTGCTTGGGCTACTCACTCTGCGGGAAACAAGTTTCCACATTGTGCAGCCCTATGGAGAGGTGCACAAGGTGAAGAATGAGAACCTCTGCCAGTGAGCATTTGATTAACTGCCAGTGAGGAATTAAAGTCTGCTTAAAACTACATGGATCCTTGGGCAGCACAAAAGGTTAAGTGCTTAACTACAGGCTGGTAGATTGACAGTTTGAACTCACCAGAGGTACCTCAAAAAGCAGACCTGGTAATCTGTTTTTGAAAAGTCACATCCTTGAAAACCCTACGGAGCAGTTCTATTCTGCACACATGGTATTCCCATGAGTCAGAATTGACTCAGCAGTAAACAACAAATAACAAAAACCATATGACTGACTTTTAAAGGGGATTTTCCAGCCCTAGCATAACTTTGAGATGATTAGAGCCCTGGCCATCAGATTAACTGCAACCTCATGACTTTGAGGTAGAACCACCTGGCTAAGCTGCTTCTGGATTCCTGACCCTCAGAAACTGTAAGATAACAGTTTGTGTTTTGAACTGCTGAACTTTGAGGTGATTTACTAGAAAGCATACACAATGTCAGGTCTAGAGTAGTGGAGGTAGGAGGCACACACTGGCTGATAAAGCCCGCATGCTTATGCTATGATGATGACTCTGATAATGATGACGCTACATGTGTTAAGAATCTACTGTGTAGCAAGCCCTATTCTAAGTACTTTATACAGATTATCTCATTTCATACTCACAATAACCCCATACAAAGATATTACTGCTTTCTGACAGATGAGGAAATAGAGGCTCTGGGAAATGAGATGACTTTCCTAGAGCTATGGAGCTAACAAGTGGGAGATTCTGGATCAGAGGCCAGGTCTGACTGGTTGCACAGTCTATGCTGTAAACTGCTATGTAGTACAGCCTGCTTCAAAGCAAAGGGCATGAGCAGGTGGGCTCTCCAATGTTTTAAGTAATGTTGATTAGGTGGTTAGGATATAGGGGGGAGGATTAGAAGGAAAGTGCCCCATGCCTTTGCTGGAACATCTGTTCTTCTCCCTCCACATGAGAAGAACTGGGAGGCTGATCAGGAGTCATCAGAATTCTAGAATTGGGCAAAATTATCATGCTTAGCCCAATGGATGTCAGCATGTGGAATTGGAGAGTAGATTATGATTTTGCCCAAGTTTTGACAGGAGCATAGGGGAAAGTTGGGCCAGGGAGGCAGCCCATGCAGAGGAAATAGGGTTGAAAGCATAAGATGGTCTTATGTCTAGGGATCTAGCTAGAGCATAAGCAATGATTGAAGATAGCCAGGTAAATAAGAGCCAGATCATGGAAGGTTCTAGGAGCTTGCTAGTTAACTTCAGCTCTAAAGAAACCTTCTTGTCAATGATTCATGCCTTTTCTCTTGTAAACTTGAAATCTATTTCCCGCTCATTTACATTCAACATATAAGCAGTACTTTTGTCCCTTACATTCAGGATAACTTTGGCATCAACACGGGGCAACTCATGCACAAAGATGCAAGACCCATTGGGCCAGGCAGAGAAGAAGGTCCAGGCTGCTTTCACCCAGCCAGTGTCAGTTGTGTTCCAGAACAGGTCTGACTCTGTCAAGGCCACCCACCGCCTGCAAGGGAATAAAATCAGCACCCTAGATAATTCTTCTACCTTTAAAAAGGATTCCCCTATCTTTACCACTGAAGGAAGGTTGGGCAATCTACTTCCATAGTTATACTGTCTCAGAAACCCAAGGAGGGGTCGCTATGAGTCGGGTCCAACTCGACGGCACATAACAACAACAACATCTTTACCACATTAATTGGAGGCCTGCCCATAGTGGGTACTCACTTATGCTGGTCCAATCTGGAAAAGAACCATAAAGTCAACCATTTGCTCAACAACCATCTATAAAGCACCTTTTAGGTACCTATGCCCTAGGCTATGGGTACATAATTTAAAAGACAGATCCTCTATTTTCAAGGAGTCCAATGAGATTGATATATGAGGGAAGAAATAATCTCAATATAGTGTGATAAGTGGATTCCATTTACTTGCCCAAATTTATTTTGCATCTGCTCTGAGCTCAACATTAGGGATATAGAAATAAGCAATCAGTCTTGCTCTGAGGAGCTTATAGTTCAATAAATATAAATATCTGGGAAGCCCCAGAAGAGCTTATATTAAGAGAGGAAATACAGAGCCTTATGCAATTATAGAAAATAGGCATCTAACTCAGAACAAAGGTTAAGATGGGTCTCAGAAATGCTTTCATAGAGGAAGTAACATCTGAGTTAGACTTAAACGATGTACAAGAACAACATGAGTGAGACAGAAAAGAAAGGTCTTTCTAGGTAAGGGAAACAGTTCCTGCAATCATGGAAGAGAGGAAAATGGTCAGGTTCTGTACTTGGGTCCTGGTTCCACCTACCCATTGGCTGTTTCTTCTCTGTGTCCTCTGTTGAGTCCCCTCACCTCCCCTTTCAATGTAGGAATGCCTCAGAAACTCGGTCCTTAGACCATTTCTCCTTTCAATGTAATATTACCCTTTGCTGATCTCATCCAATCTCATGGCTTTAAATACTATCTTGCTGATAACTCCAGCATGAGTCTGTCTCATCAACTGTAGACATATACAGTGAAACAGTGCAACTTGTGAGAGGCAGAACTTGATGGAACTCCCTTGTTTTTCCAGGTCTTGTAAGATTTCCACCTTTGACAGGATGCAGTCTTATCACTTTTCTACCTCTGAGTGGAAAATTTTTGGCTTTTCTTCTCTGCTAGGTTTCCTTCTTACACTGCTTCCAGCTTTCACAGAATTTGCTGCCTGCTCAACATCTCCACTTTAAACTACGAGTATGGAGATGTCTGGAGCCCCTAGGTGGTGCAAATGATTAATGTGCTCAGCTGCCAACCAAAAGATTGGAGGTTCAAGTCCACCCAGAGGTTCCTTGGAAGAAAGACCTGGTGATCTTCTGAAAGAATAAGGCATTGAATGCCTTATAGAGCACGGTTCTACTCTGAGGCACATATGGTCACCATGAGTTGGAATTGACTTGACAACAACTTGTTTACTGGTACGGAGATGTCTAATAGACATCTCAAAATTCCAATTAAAAAATGAGCTTTTCATTTTCCTTCCACTAGACCAGCACGTCCAACAGACTACCTTCTGTCACCTGATGATCCTGGCTGCTCACAAACCTTGGAATCATTATTGACTCTTTTCTTTTTCGCTTTTCCCACATCAAATCTGTCTGCAAATCCTATTAGAACTACCTTCAAAAGGCATTTAAAATGTCACCTCTTCTCACTCTTTCCACTGCTATTTCCCCTGGCAAGCCACACCTCTCTCTTACTACAATGACCTCCCAGTGTAGTGGTTTCCTGCTTCATTCTTTGCCTCCTGCAGTTTATTCTGAACTCAGCATCCCAAGTTCTCCTTTTAAAAAACAAATCAGATCATGTTACTTGTTTGCTTAAAACCATCCAATGGCTTCTCACCTTGCTCAGAGTAAAAGCCAAAGCCTCCAACATCCTACCTGAGTAGCCCCTTTGTTAGCTCTCTGACCTCAACTCCTGTCACTCTGTCCCCCATTCTCTCTCCTCTAACTCACTTGCCTACTTTCTGTACCTTGGAACGCCCAGGCTAGCTGCCCCCAGTACCTTCCACTGGCCACAAAACCCAGCCCATAGCTGCACTGGGAGTGCTCAACCATCTTAGGGGCCCCGCTGGTGCCACTGGTAAAGTAGATTGCCAGTGGGTCTCGACTCTTGGTCTTCATGCAATTATGCTTTGTGGATGCTTTTCTGCAAAAGGTGAAAAATACCAGTTATACTGCTTGTAATATAAATAGTAACAATAACAGTAATATTTATAACAACAATGCTGGCAGCTATTTCGATGGATACCACTTGTCAGGCACTGTGCTGAGAGCTTCAGTTTGCATCATCTCTAATCCTTTCAACCATCTCATTGGATGGGTACCATCATTATAACCCTTTTGCAGATAAGGAAATTGAGGTTCCAAATGGTGAAAGGACTCAGTCCAAAGAGCCTATGTTCTTTTACTAAGGCACAAGGACTTTCTGGTATATGACATACCCGTTCATATGCCTGCACATTTAGGCACTCCCTTCCCTCTTCCCCACACCAATTCCTGGTGATTTAGGGCTGCTCTATAAAGGGCTCTCCAACTTTAAAGGCTCAAGATCTGGGTAATTCCTAAAGTTCTATCATCTGGAGAACCATCTAACCTACTGGTTCTAAACTCTGGCTGCACCTAACAGTCATCTGAATTCCTAATTTATGAGTGCTTCTGTAGCACAAATGCCATAAGTAGGTAGCTTTAAAGAACAGAAACTTATTTTCTTACAGTTCTGGAGGCTAAAATTCCAAATTAGAGTCTTGGCCATGTCAACACCTTTGGTGAGCCTTTGTCCTGGTTTCTGGTGATTACCAGCAATCTTTGATGTTCCTTCGCTTTAGATGATTCTCACATGTCATATTAATCCCCTGTGTGTGTGTGTGTCTGTGTCTGTTATAGTGCTTCTATTATAATTCAGAACTGATTAGGTTTCAGATCCACTCTATACTAGTATGACCTCAACTGATTGATTGATTACACTAAATTAGATTACATTATGGAAGGTGGTTGATTATGTTATGGAATATAATCGACTGTACTCAACACCAACTCTTTTAATCACATGTGACTCCTCATTGACACCAACTATATTGGTAATGGCAAAACTACTGGGAAACATAGCCTAGCCAAGTTGACACAAAAAATTAGCCATCACATCTGGTAAGTTTTTAAAAGAAATACCATTGCCTAGACTCTACCCTCGACAAAATGAAATAAGAATCTTTGATGGTGCTGTTGTTTTTAGGTGCTGTAGAGTTGTTCCAACTCATAACAATCCC